TAATAATAATATGCAGAAAATTCGGAGTGTGGAAATTAGGAAAAGGTGTGGAGTTAATAAAAGTATTAGTCAGAGGGCTGAAGAGGGGTTGTTGAGGTGGTTTGGTCATTTAGAGAGAATGGATCAAAGTAGAATGATATGGAGTGTGTATAAATCTGTAGGGGAAGGAAGGCGGGGTAGGGGTTGTCCTCGAAAAGGTTGGAGGGAGGGGGTAAAGGAGGTTTTGTGGGCGAGGGGCTTGGACTTCCAGCAAGCGTGCGTGAGTGTGTTAGATAGGAGTGAATGGAGACGAATGGTATTTGGGACCTGACGAGCTGCTGGAGTGTGAGCACAGTGATATTTAGTGAAGGGATTCAGGGAAACCAGTTATTTTTATATAGCCGGACTTGAGTCCTGGAAATGGGAGGTACAATGCCTGCACTTTAAAGGAGGGGTTTTGGGATATTGGCAGTTTGGAGGGATATGTTGTGTATCTTTATACGCATATGCTTCTAAACTGTTGTATTCTGAGCACCTCTGCAAAAACAGTGATTATGTGTGAGTGAGGTGAAAGTGTTGAATGATGAAAGTATTTTCTTTTTGGGGATTTTCTTTCTCTTTGGGTCACCCTGCCTCGGTGGGAGACGGCCAACTTGTTAAAAAAAAAAAAACATATATATACACACCCCTCTGGGTTTTCTTCTATTTTCTTACTAGTTCTTGTTCTTGTTTATTTCCTCATATCTCCATGGGGAAGTGGAACAGAATTCTTCCTCCGTAAGCTATGCGTGTTGTAAGAGGCGACTAAAATGCCAGGGGCATTTTAGTCGCATTTTAGTTACAAGGGGCTAGTAACCCCTTCTCCTGTATAAATTACTAAATTTAAAAAGAGAAACTTTAGTTTTTCTTTTTGGGCCACCCTGCCTCGGTGGGATACGGCCAGTTTGTTGAAAGAAGAAAGAAGTCACAAAAGTTAAAAAGGATATTGGAAACTAACAAGATAACAGAGAAGTGGATATCTGAGAGATCCCATAATGAAAGGATATTACATTGCATACATTCTTTTAAGTGGGTACAAATAAAAGATCCCTACCCACAAATTAAATCCCTAGTGATAAATCACCAAGTCCAGAAAGAATAGCTGCAGAAACAGAGTAATTAATCTAATTCCAATAGTCTAGTTTAAATAAGACTAAGGATGAATGAAGACAGAATTCACCTATTCTCCCCCATCCCCTACCCTGAATCCATGGAAAAATATGTGACAAAAATTTTGAGTAAATCCTGACTAGTAATTTCACCCACTCCACACAGTATAAATCTAACACCATAACATTTGTAACACCTATATACATAACTTCACTTTTTAAAGTCTGCATATTCAGATTTGTGGAAGATAGCTACTGTATAGTACAGGAACAGCACATAAAAACTCAATTATGCCACAAGCTGTAAAAGCTTTTTATGTATAAGCATGAACTAAACATACAAAAAAATGAACCTACAAAACAGCCTGGGGCAGAAAACCTCGTCTCACTTTGTTAATAAGAATGTAACTTTCAAGACGAAGCCTAGAATTAAACATACAGGTGGAGAGGTTTTGATATGTAGTATATCTCGCAGTACCCATCAAAACAATACAATGATTATAACTTTTTCTAGTTTATCCAAGTTCTGGTCAGCAGTAATGATACTCTGCAGATAAGTACTATGCAATTTTGATCATGAAAGTAATGATCAGAAGTTTTTTTTTTTTCAACAAACCGGCTGTATCCCACCAAGGCAGGGTAGCCCATAAAGAAAAACGAAAGTTTCTCTTTTTAAATTTAGTAATTTATGCAGATGAAGAGATTACTAGGCCCTTGCTCCCGGCATTTTAGTCACCTCTTACAACACACATGGCTTATGGAGGAAGAATTCTGTTCCACTTCCCCATGGAGATAAGAGGAAATAAACAAGAACAAGAACTAGAAAGAAAATAGAAGAAAACCCAGAGGGGTGTGTGTATTATATATATATATGCTTGTACATGTATGTGTAGTGTGACCTAAGTGTAAGTAGAAGTAGTAAGACGTACCTGAAATCTTGCACGTTTATGATACAGAAAAAAGACACCAGCAATCCTACCATCATGTAAAACAATTACAGGTTTCCATTTTACACTCACTTGGCAGGACGGTAGTACCTCCCTGGGCGGTTGCTGTCTACCAACCTACTACCTAATGAGAAATGTAATGTAATGTAATGAGAAATTCTGACTTATGATATTGTTGGTTTGTGCACATGGAGATGACTTTGCAAGAATCAAGAGCAAATGTAATGAAACCAGATATGAGAGCAAAGTGTGAGGGAGAAACAGACTTAGAGGTTGATCAATTACACCACCTCAGATCCAACAGGTGGTGGTAGATCTGAAAAAAGAATTAAGATTTAAGAAAATGGTTTGTGATGCAGTAAAGTAAAATCCTTCGTATCTAGGAGTGCATGGGACCAGTGTCAATCTGTATAAACCAATTTTCCAAACCCCTTAAGATTTATCCCAGCAGGCATGTGAAATTAGGCAATGCTCTAGTGCTGTGGTACTGTTGACATCAGGTTGCAGCACTATCTCAACACTGCAAGCAAAAATTATGATTTCATTTAGAAGTTTCAAAAACAAAATCAACAATCACAAGTTTTAATACTGCCATATGAATTTATCACTAGAATAATGAAGAAACAACACGAAGTGCTTGTTGAGAATAATACAACACAGACTTACAAATTCTGGACACAGTACTGTATTTATGAGAGGCAATAATTTTTTTGTCTCCAGGATTAGCTGGACTGTAATGTACTATAAATATAATGCATATAACAACCATAGAGAACAAATGGATTTGTCAGTTAAAAATAGGAGAGGAGAGTTATTAAATGGAGAGTTAGAGGTATTGGGAAGATGGAGGGAATATTTTGAGGAATTGTTAAATGTTGATGAAGATAGGGAAGCTGTGATTTCGTGTATAGGGCAAGGAGGAATAACATCTTGTAGGAGTGAGGAAGAGCCAGTTGTGAGTGTGGGGGAAGTTCGTGAGGCAGTAGGTAAAATGAAAGGGGGTAAGGCAGCCGGGATTGATGGGATAAAGATAGAAATGTTAAAAGCAGGTGGGGATATAGTTTTGGAGTGGTTGGTGCAATTATTTAATAAATGTATGGAAGAGGGTAAGGTACCTAGGGATTGGCAGAGAGCATGCATAGTTCCTTTGTATAAAGGCAAAGGGGATAAAAGAGAGTGCAAAAATTATAGGGGGATAAGTCTGTTGAGTGTACCTGGTAAAGTGTATGGTAGAGTTATAATTGAAAGAATTAAGAGTAAGACGGAGAATAGGATAGCAGATGAACAAGGAGGCTTTAGGAAAGGTAGGGGGTTGTGTGGACCAGGTGTTTACAGTGAAACATATAAGTGAACAGTATTTAGATAAGGCTAAAGAGGTCTTTGTGGCATTTATGGATTTGGAAAAGGCGTATGACAGGGTGGATAGGGGGGCAATGTGGCAGATGTTGCAAGTGTATGGTGTAGGAGGTAGGTTACTGAAAGCAGTGAAGAGTTTTTACGAGGATAGTGAGGCTCAAGTTAGAGTATGTAGGAAAGAGGGAAATTTTTTCCCAGTAAAAGTAGGCCTTAGACAAGGATGTGTGATGTCACCGTGGTTGTTTAATATATTTATAGATGGGGTTGTAAGAGAAGTAAATGCGAGGGTCTTGGCAAGAGGCATGGAGTTAAAAGATAAAGAATCACACACAAAGTGGGAGTTGTCACAGCTGCTCTTTGCTGATGACACTGTGCTCTTGGGAGATTCTGAAGAGAAGTTGCAGAGATTGGTGGATGAATTTGGTAGGGTGTGCAAAAGAAGAAAATTAAAGGTGAATACAGGAAAGAGCAAGGTTATGAGGATGAAAGATTGAATATCAGATTGGAGGGAGAGAGTATGGAGGAGGTGAACGTATTCAGATATTTGGGAGTGGACGTGTCAGCGGATGGGTCTATGAAAGATGAGGTGAATCATAGAATTGATGAGGGAAAAAGAGTGAGTGGTGCACTTAGGAGTCTGTGGAGACAAAGAACTTTGTCCTTGGAGGCAAAGAGGGCAATGTATGAGAGTATAGTTTTACCAACGCTCTTATATGGGTGTGAGCGTGGGTGATGAATGTTGCAGCGAGGAGAAGGCTGGAGGCAGTGGAGATGTCATGTCTGAGGGCAATGTGTGGTGTGAATATAATGCAGAGAGAATTCGTAGTTTGGAAGTTAGGAGGAGGTGCGGGATTACCAAAACTGTTGTCCAGAGGGCTGAGGAAGGGTTGTTGAGGTGGTTCGGACATGTAGAGAGAATGGAGCGAAACAGAATGACTTCAAGAGTGTATCAGTCTGTAGTGGAAGGAAGGCGGGGTAGGGGCCGGCCTAGGAAGGGTTGGAGGGAGGGGGTTAAAGGAGGTTTTGTGTGCGAGGGGCTTGGACTTCCAGCAGGCATGCGTGAGCGTGTTTGATAGGAGTGAATGGAGACAAATGGTTTTTAATACTTGACGTGCTGTTGGAGTGTGAGCAAAGTAACATTTATGAAGGGATTCAGGGAAACCGGCAGGCCGGACTTGAGTCCTGGAGATGGGAAGTACAGTGCCTGCACTCTGAAGGAGGGGTGTTAATGTTGCAGTTTAAAAACTGTAGTGTAAAGCACCCTTCTGGCAAGACAGTGATGGAGTGAATGATGGTGAAAGTTTTTCTTTTTCGGGCCACCCTGCCTTGGTGGGAATCGGCCGGTGTGATAATAAAAAAAAAAATAACAACCATAGTATGTATGTGTCTCACAAGTGCTCAGTAACTGAAGCAATGCATGGCAATTAATTTTAATGTTGCAGTTTAAAAACTGTAGTGTAAAGCACACTTCTGGCAAGACAGTGATGGAGTGAATGATGGTGAAAGTCTTTCTTTTTTGGGCCACCCTGCCTTGGTTGGAATCGGCCAGTGTGTTAATAAAAAAAAAAAATAATGAATTTTTTTTCTCCAGAATTAGCTGGACTTTAATGTACTACAAATATAGTGCATACCACAACCTCAGTTTGTTCTCACTAGAGTTCAACAAGTGAAGCTAGTGGCAGACCTACATTTTGAGGGCCCTGAAGCTTGAATTGTTATGGGGCCCCTTTACAACCTCTTCTCATACAGAAGACCCAAAATTTTTAAGCAATGTGGACTAAAGTTGCTTCTGGGGGCCCTCTAGGATTAGGGGCCCTGAAGCTTAAGCTTCATTAATTTCACAGTAGATCTGTCCCTGACTGAAGCAATATATAAAACAGAAAGAGAGCTTGCATGGTGTTGGAAGCCAAACATTGCAAATCATGCATGTTGAAGTCTTAATACAACTACAAGAATAGTTCTGTTGTCTCACACAAAGCCTAGATCTAGTGGTGGACAATTCTACACAGCAATCTACTATGTAAAAAATGAGAATCTATAAAATTATGAAATCATAATACAAAATATGTACACCATATACTGTAAATATAGTACATGTATATGTATACTATACACAGTAGAGCATATTTTATGGCATGCTTTATAATAAGATTTGGTTAAACAAGTCAAACTCAACTAAAAATACATCTTCTTCTAAAACTTTCTCTTTGCATTTATAGATAAATATCTGTAAATTAATAGGGCATATAAATTTTAATTTTTGCACCAAAAGTAACAGCATCCTCATTTAACCTTTTTTAAATTAATGGAATACAAATTACATAGCTTAACCCTACCCACCCTCTCTGGTCAGCCTAAATTTGTTTAGATCACATTATTTAACATTAATGAAATATATAAATTTTGCAATATTCAGACTGATTTTCACAGCTATTGAAACAATGAGTTTATACTTAGAATATCTGGTAAAAGAAAAATCATTATTATAAGGCAAGTACACAAGTGACTAAAAAGCATGACATATGAATATAAATGTAAAAGAAACAAACTGTGAAATATACTAATGACTTGAATGTAATACTGAGTACTAACATAAATATTTTAAAATGGAACTTGCAAGGCAATCTCTAAGACAAGTAAATATTAAGCATTCTTCTTCTGTAAGAAAATGTTCCAAAATATGATAAAGCTTATGGAGACTATTACTATACACTTATCTATTGTGCAATGGGCATATACTGTATATATATATGCACGTCTGATAATTATCAACTCGAGATACAAGACATTTAAATCTAACTTGCATTGATTTTTTGAATACGCTTCATCAATTTCACCATAGATCTATTTTAATTTTGATTCTTTTCATTTCTTAGTTTTCTGTCTGTATATTCCTTTCAAATACTCCCTTGGGGCACTAACATCTCGGCTAGATCTCCTACTTCCACACAAACTCCCTGGTGCACTGCTGTGGAGCGAGAGACTATTTCTTGGAAGTGCCTTTGGTTGTGTAACCTGTTCGTAAGATGGAGGACAGTCAATGTGTGACTTTGTGCTCTGTTCCTCTTGTTGTTGAGTGATTTGGTTCATTAAACTAATAAGCTCTGTTTCGAAGGTGTTTAGTGAGGTGTTAGCACTTTCTGCTTGAGCCACCATATAGTCATTAACATCATGATCATGATCATCATCATCATATTGATCTTCTTGGAAATATTTACCATCATTCCTGTAAAGAGGCATGTTTAATTTCCTGGTAGATCTGGATGGCTTTGAACCCACACCATGGTGCAGTGTGTCTTTTTGATAACTTGCAGATAAAGTATTCAAGCCTTCTTTGTTGGCAATGTGTGAATGTTTATGATCTCGAAAGTTTGATTTCCTTTTGCATAGTAAGGCTTCTCCTTCTCTTTGTGAAGGTAATAAAAATATCCCATGCCTACTGATTTCCTGACAGCAATCCTTTGTCAAATCACCTCGGCTCTGACTTCTATAAAGCGGAGTAGATGTCCCTGAGAGTGATCGCCGCTTTGCTCTTTCCAAGGTGTGTGGACGAACGCTGGAAGGACAGACACCACTGGACACACTATAACCTAAAGCTTGTGTTTCTACTTCTTTGTGTCGTGGGACAGAGGGTGCTCTACTTGTTGGGGCAGATTTCATACGGAAGACAGAAGATGCCTTTCGATTTTGGGCATTAGAGCAATCATCACTGAAAGTATTAATTGTGTATAATAAAAGTGAGTATGAAACAGAGCTTACCAAATTTATAAACAGCAATACTAAAGTGTGTTCATTAAAATTTTTAATAAGTTCATAGTAATGGCTACTTTCAAATTACTTGAAAATCAGATGCTTGTTTTCAACTTTAAATTTAACAGAAATGGTTTAGTAATACAAAAAAAAAAAATCTTATCACTGATCCTATTTTTTTTATATTATTATATATATCACCAATTCATGCAAAAAATGGATAAATTTATTGATGCAGGACTCACGAAATCGTAATGACACGATTGCTGGTCTAGTGGCTAACGCAACGGGCTGGAGTTTTTAGACTCTCGGACCGCGGGTTCAATCCCGGCCGGGGTATGGTTTATTGATGCAGACCAGTATAATACAGTGACACCCCACTTAACAACCATTCACATAACATAATTTGAATGGCTTCAAAAACTATTACTATTCCCAGCTTAACCCCTTCAGGGTCCAAGGCCCAAATCTGAAGTGGTGCCAGTGTCCAAGAATTTTCAAAAAAAAAAATTGTTATTTTTTCTTATGAAATGGTAGGGATTCTTTTTGTGAAGGTAATAAAACAAAAAGTACGAAATTTGATGGAAAATTGACGAAATTATGCTCTAGCGAATTTTGATGTGTCAGCGATATTGACGAATCGGCGATTTTGCAGACTTTGACTCCCATTTTAGGCCAATTACATTATTCCAGTCAACCAAATTCTTAGCTATTTCACTAGTAATACTTCTATTCTATCGATTGAGCACAAGAAATTGCCAAGTCAACTGTTTCAACTACAAAATAAAGTGATCGGAAATTGCTTAATTTGGCCAATTTAACACGAAATTCAAAATATTCCAATTTCAAAAAAAGGGTCCAGAATTAACAATGTAGGTATTCCTGGAACTAAACTAACATTTTTTTTTGTTCATCAGTTATGTTTTGAGGCTTTACAAATAAAATTTCCATTTTGATTTTTTATTCGCATAATGAATTTTTATCCCCACCAAAAATAGAAGATTTACTGTTATGGGAATACTGTAATAATTGTATAAATATCATCACCATATTTGTGAGTGTATATTAGACCCGCCAGCTGGCATGTATTAGACGTGTGAGGTCGTTTGTTTACTCTTTGAATATCGGCAAAAATTTAACATTTCCGCTACTTTGAGCTCAGTTTCAAGCCATTTCCGGTGCTAAAACCAATCAAAATCATCTCTATTTCTGTAATATGTCTTCCATTCTATCAAATGAGACCAAGAAATCGCAAGTACAACTATAAAAAACATACGAAAAAACACTGCAAAGTCACTGTTTTAATCGAAAAATCATGATTTCAGTTTTTTTTCTCTCATTATACACAGTGTGCTGCAGGATTTGTTTTATGTGGTGCACACATACCACATAGATGTATTCTCTCATATCTAGGCCCAAATGTACCACTCACAGTTTATCAGAGTGAGCTGAGCTCATGACGTAGATCTACGGTTTGGACCCTGAACATAAAGCCGTAGATCTACGGGACGGACCCTGAAAGGGTTAATGACCAGTTCCCACTTGTTTGACAACCAAATTCCAGGCTGTGGGCTGCCTTTTCCCTTGATTAATGACTTCTCCATGTACAACCAGACAATGTTGATAAATACGGTATACAGGTCAGCCATCATTAATCCGGCATCATTGGGACCTGTAGTGTGCCAGATTAGTGAGTTTGCTGGATTACAGAGTGATTAGGTAAGAATACACTTAATTAACCTATCACTAGAGACTCTTTCTGCTACATCTTCCTCATTTTCATCACTGCTCTCTCCTCCACTGGCTTGCTGCTGTGGATTTACAACCATCTGCACAATTTCTGAGTCAGTATAATAATGAAATTTGAGTCAGTATAATGATTTGAGTTAGTATAATGGTGAAATTTGAAATTATGCTAGGCGAAATTAGTGCCGGATTACCGATGGAACCGGAGAACTGACTGCCGGATTAGTGATGGCTGACCTGTACTATTGCTTATTATCTCACAGGGCTCCACAGATGGAACTAAATCAGTAGTTTCCTGCATCAGCAGTCAACATGCACACTTTTTTTTCATATCCATTGCATCAGCAGTTAAAATATGAGAAAAATGAGGATAAGGTTTATATAGTATATAAATTGTTTATCACCCCCAGGAAAGACAAGGTGTGATTATGTCTGTGAGAGCAGAGTGCCTTCCACCACTCTTCCCTCCAGTCATCAGAGATGAGTTCATTGTTTGGTTAAGACACAGTAATGTTATAACCCCTGTTTTATGAGTGCATAACACAATAAGCTATGAAAATTTTTTACCAAAATATCTAGAGAAGTTCTAGGTAGTAGGTTGGTAGACAGCAACAGCCCAGGGAGGTACTACCGTCCTGCCAAGTGAGTGTAAAACAAAATCCTGTAATTGTTTTACCTGATGGTAGGATTGCTGGTGTCCTTTTTTCTGTCTCATGAACATGCAAGATTTCAGGTGCGTCTTGCTTCTTCTACTTACACTTAGGTCACACTACACATACATGTACAAGCATATATATACATACATACCCCTCTGGGTTTTCTATTTTCTTTCTAGTTCTTGTTCTTGTTTATTTCCTCTTATCTCCATGGGGAAGTGGAACAGAATTCTTCCTCCGTAAGCCATGCGTGTCGTAAGTGGCGACTAAAATGCCGGGAGTAAGGGGCTAGTAACCCCTTCTCCTGTATATATTACTAAATGTAAAAGGAGAAACTTTCGTTTTTCCTTTTGGGCCACCCCGCCTCGGTGGGATACGGCCGGTGTGTTGAAAGAAGAAAGATCTAGAGAAGTAACATATATTTTTTATTGTAGTTAAGTTGAAGAGCTGTCATGTCTTGTAAGCTTTCTACTGTTGGGTAGAAATACTGTGATAGACTAAGGGGTGCTGCAACTCTTTAGAACCATCACAATTAAACTCAACAACAACAAAAAAACAATGAGATACTTCTCTTGATATTTTGATAATTTTTTATAGTTTTTGTATTACAGACTCATAAAACAAAGGAAACAACTCCACTATGCCTTTAGCAAACAATGGACTCAACTGTGATGAAGGGAGGGAAGAATGGTGGAGAGTATAGCATGTAATATGACAATGCTCTTCTCTCACAGACATGAAAAAACATTGTCGAATTTTTCATACTTTTATGCATTATGCACTCATAAAATGGGGGTATAACACAATTATGCCTCTATTTAATAATGGATCCATCTCTGGTGATTGCATTACTTTTTTTTTCTTCAACAAACTGGCATTATATCTCTAGTAAATTCCATCACTGTAAAGTTTAGAAAAATACTGTACAAATTAGTAGACCTGTTTGCCTTAGTTGCCTATGAAAGAACTACTGCTGATTTAATTTGTAATTTACCTGTACTGTGGCTACACCTTCACTACAATACCTCTTGGTTTTCTATAGAGGCTTTTTATATACAAAATAACATAAAAATGAAAATGTAGCACTGTGGTAGACCCACTGACAAAGTTAGGCAGGACCTACTCACAATGATCCATGCTACTCATCTACAGCTCTATTGCTAAACCAGTGATATTTTTTACATTATAAAATAGGAATAAGGAGGTACAACAAGGTTGATGGCCCATGCTAGGCAGGTCCAACTCTCACCCACCTATTCCATTCATCTACAGCTGTTGCCAAAATAGTGTTCTCCAATATAAGAATACATATAAAAATCCTAAGAGTAGAGGGGTCACTCTAGTAGTTTTACTACTCTATGCTAGGCAGGTCCAACTCTCACCCAAACATTCCCACTCTTGTACCTGTCCCTGCATCCCTTAATACTATGTAAAGCATTGGCTTCATTGTAACTTGCTCAACTCATCTACAATTCTACTGCCAAACCAGTGCTTTCCCACATCCTTTTCAATTCATAATTTAGTTTTAAGGATGCCTAAAATGCTTTGCTTAACAAGGGGCTTCCTATGAAGTAGTTACATGTTATTCACCCTAATTGTATAATACACTGTACTCCACTTTATAGAAATAAAATTTGTTTGTTTGATATAAAGTAGCTAGCAGAGTTACCAAACTAGGGCTTGACAAAGCTCCTGGAGAGCAAAACGTTGCCACAATAAAATATCACATTAGTTGCACTGTGTCCTTTTACTTTACATACAAACTAGAGCAGCATGGTGGTGGTATTTCAGTACCACTGAGTTCAATCATGCTACTACTCTACCAAAAATACTGAACTATATTAGTAAGTTAGAAAAATAGACATATTAGTAGCAAACATAAAAAATATGGAAGTTAACATGATTTGCAAGGGGTACAGTAAACACAAAATTTATATACAGTAGGATCCCCGTATAGGAGCAAGGGGCTAGTAACCCCTTCTCCTGTATATATTACTAAATGTGAAAGGAGAAACTTTTGTTTTTCCTTTTGGGCCACCCCGACTCGGTGGGATACGGCCGGTGTGTTGAAAGAAAGGACCCCCGTATCCACGGTTTACGGTGGCCTGAGAATAACCCTTAATTTTGCTTAATAATGGCCTCAAAGTGCAAAAGTACTGATGGTAGAAGTTCTTCAAAGCATAAAAGAAGCTGTGAAGAGCTTCCCATCAGTGAAAACATGATAATTCTCCACTTATTAGGCACAATTTATCAATTAAACTTTGTAACAGGTATGTATGTAAACAAAAAACGACATACGTATATAGGGTTCGCTACTATCTGCGTTTTTGGTATCCGTGGCAGATACTTGGAATGTATCTCCCGCAGATACACGAGTTCTATTGTACTTATATTGTTCAGGTGAACTATATAAAAGTATGATATTGCTAAATATGACTTAAGTGTGGTTAAAAAAAAATTCATTGATGCACTGGGATTTTAACACAGAAATTTTATGTAATAAGTGGAGCATACTTTTGTATAAAACAAATACTTCTATGGAATGTTCACAGCAACTCACCATTATTCATAGTCTTCTTGAAGATCCTTGTTGTTTTTTAGAATCACTAAAATAAGAGAAAAATAAGCAAGGTTGTTAGTAAACAACATTAAAAATTACTGGAGCACAGTTAGTACTCTAACCCAACACACATACTCTATTGTGCAGGCAACTTGTACATTAGTGTTAAGTGCTATAGTCTAACCTCAAACCATGTACCATGCTCAATTACAAAGAACACAATTCAGTATTATAAAACACAAATGGAGTATTAATGTTCAAATTTCAGATTACAAAAAACAAAAAAATAGTTATTGTTTCATCAGACTAATTACTTACGGTTGCTGCTGCTTTGGGAGTCTAGTCGGACCCAAAACAACAGGTGAACTCTGAATGAATGTGACATTTCCTCTTGGAGGGGTAATGTTTGGCACAGCCACTTTTCGCTGAGGGGAGTCTAATAAATCACCAATACTTCCACTTGATAAGCTACCACCACTTTCCTGATAAAAAAATTCTTTTGTGTTATAAGGCACTAAGAATAACTTCATTAATAACCCCAGTAATAACCTCATTATTAACCCCATAATAACCTCATTAATAACCCAGTAATAATCTCATTAATAACCCAATAATAACCTAGTTAATAACCCAGTTAAAACCTCACTAATACTTTAACATAATTAATGAATAGTTTTTAAACATTTAAGTAGTAGGTTGGTAGACAGTAACCGCCCAGGGAGGTACTACCCTCCAGCAAGCGAGTGTAAAATGGAAGCCTGTAATTGTTTTACATGATGGTAGGATTGTTGGTGTCTTTTTCTGTCTCAAAAAACATACAATATTTCATGTATGTCTTGCTACTTCTACTTGCATTTAGGTCACACTACACTTGGATGTACAAGCACATATATATACACCCCTCTGGGTTTTCTTCTATTTGCTTACTAGTTCTTGTTTATTTCCTCTTATCTCATGGGAAGAGAAACAGAATTCTTCCTCCGTAAGCCATTTATGTTGTAAGAGGTGACTAAAATGCTGGGAGCTTCTTCTGTATACATTACTAAAGTAAGAGAAACTTTTGTTTTTCTTTTTGGGCCACCCTGCCTCGGTAGGATACAGCCGGTTTGTTGAAAGAAAGAATAATAATAATAATAATAATAATAATCATAACTATACCTAATTTCTCACAAGGATCAAGCAGCCATAAAAAAAAAACCAGTTTTACATTCTAAATTAATGCTCTTTCTCTAAAGCTTTGCATCACTGCAAATCTTACCATTTTATGGTTATTATTATTATTATAATCATAGGGTAGATGGGAAAAGAGGAAGGTGGCAACAACAAGTAAGAGGGAGGTGAAAGTGTATAAACTAAGGGAGGAGGAAGTTCGGGCGAGATATAAGCGACTATTGGCAGAAAGGTGGGCTAGTGCAAAGATGAGTAGTGGGGGGGTTGAAGAGGGTTGGAATAGTTTTAAAAATGCAGTATTAGAATGTGGGGCAGAAGTTTGTGGTTATAGGAGGGTGAGGGCAGGAGAAAAGAGGAGTGATTGGTGGAATGATGAAGTAAAGGGTGTGATAAAAGGGGAAAAAGGTAGCTTACGAGAGGTTTTTACAAAGCAGAAGTGTTATAAGAAGAGCAGAGTATATGGAGAGTAAAAGAAAGGTGAAGAGAGTGGTGAGGGGAGTGCAAAAGGAGAGCAGTTGAAAGAGTGGGAGAGGCACTGTCAAGAAATTTTAATGAAAATAAGAAAAAAATTTTGGAGTGAGTTAAACAAGTTAAGAAAGCCTAGGGAAAGTATGGATTTGTCAGTTAAAAACAGAGTAGGGAGTTAGTAGATGGGGAGAGGGAGGTATTAGGTAGATGGAGAGAATATTTTGAGGAACTTTTAAATGTTGAGGAAGAAAGGGAGGTGGTAATTTCATGCACTGGTCAGGGAGGTATACCATCTTTTGGGAGTGAAGAAGAGCAGAATGTAAGTGTGGTGGAGGTACGTGAGGCATTACGTAGAATGAAAGGGGGTAAAGCAGCTGGAACTGATGGGATCATGACAGAAATGTTAAAAGCAGGGGGGATATAGTGTTGGAGTGGTTGGTACTTTTGTTTAATAAATGTATGAAAGAGGGGAAGGTACCTAGGGATTGGCAGAGAGCATGTATAGTCCCTTTATATAAAGGGAAAGGGGACAAAAGAGATTGTAAAAATTATAGAGGAATAAGTTTTACTGAGTATACAGGAAAAGTATACGGTAGGGTTATAATTGAAAGAATTAGAGGTAAGACAGAATGTAGGATTGCGGATGAGCAGGGAGGCTTCAGAGTGGGTAGGGGATGTGTGATCAAGTTTACATTGA